TTTTATTTTTATAAATTTTAATTTATACTTCATTTTCTTTATGCTATTTGAAGCAAATAAATTTACTTTATATAGTATTGCTGCAATATTAATATTTACTTTTTGATATTTGTATACATTGAATTAATCTTATTAGACGGCTAGTTATTTATATATTTTTTAATTGAACTACGTTAATTTGTAAAAATTACGAATGAAATGTCACTAGTTGTATTTATGCAGTGTTGCTGTAAATATTAAAAAATTTAAGTATGGTACGAAATCAAACCCGAACGGTTCCATAATTATATTTAGACCCGACGGTTCCATTTATTAAATACCCGAAAGTTTTGGACGGCCCTAATTTCTTTGCTACTACCCCAGTACTGATTGTATCCCAAATTTCTTATCACCTAGCATTTTAGATGAAACTCGATTCTTTTCCTTAGAAAAAAAAAAATTAATTGCATGGAGCACTTCGCAGATAAATCTAAGACTAAATAAACTCCAAATAGACAATAACTGAAGTTAGCATGGCACAGTAAAGGATTCAGAAACATGACTGAAGACTCGAGTTACTTCAGAAGGTTTGTTCCCAGGAATTTCATCTAAGATTGGGAAACTGTATCCCACATATGGACCCAAAAAAGGGGGAAAAACCTATTAACATTCGTAGATATGGATGTAAAATGACTAGGACGAACTCAATGTTGATGTAGAGCAAATGATAAAAGAAGGAAGAAGAGTGCAGAATGTGATCGAATGAGCCAGCCTTAGCCAGGTGTCTTTCATGCACACATCTTGAGATTACTAATATAGCGCTAAGAAGCAAAGCATTCAAGAGAACTTTTAAAATTACCAGGAAGAAGGATATCGTAAGTCGTACCAATAATCTATATCCCGATAGATATGAAAAGGATTCTATTTCCTTCACGTGAGAAGAAAAAAGTCACATAGTTCAAATACTACTACTGTATAATTGGTGATAACCAAATCCCTGAAGGGTTTTCAATCAAAAGTTTACAGGGAACCAAAAGGATATTAATGACGAGTTGGATAATGGCAATCAATTAAATATATACACAGCAGAGTGCAGCTGCAATGAGCACATCGCATGGCTCACGCATTACAAGAAGCTGGTTCTATAAAGATGTGATTGATGACTAGTGGGCAATATTATAGACAGAGATGATGATTTCAACACCTATTAGTACGATAATGAGCCATTCCAGAAAATCTGACTTCCTATTCTGAAGAATTTCTTGAAGAAAACGAATATTGTGCTGCAATGGAAAATAATGACATCAACTGTAACAATCATTTACATTAGAAGGAAATTATGCAACATATATGAAGCACAAAAAGTTTAACATAATACCTCAACAAACTTCAACTTAAAATCAAGACTAGCAAACCTCTGAGTCAATTCAAATTCATCTCTAAGATACTCCCAAATTTGAGCATATTTGGCATCCTTCCATGCTATGTCTGATCTGAATAAATTAGGAAATATAATATTAGTAGAAAACGTATAGAATGTAAAAAAAATGACTAATGAATACTATATAATTTATGATAGTACATTGGAGAGAACTATTCTCAATACAAATGCATGACAATTGTAAAAAGATATTCATAAAAATAGACACAAACTGGGCAGTATGTTAGAAGAGAAGACTATTATGACAACAAATGCACGTCAATAACACACACACACATATATATATACACACAAACTGTGCCCAACCAGCAACAATATTGCAGAGCTGCATAAAAGAACATTTTGAGTTAGGTTTTGATGCTTAAATTTCTTCTCTTCCTTTATCCTGTTAAAAAATGACAAAAGGGACTACATAAAAACACTTTAGACGGTCAAATTGAATTTCTCGAACAGAATCTCACATACGTCGTCTAAGATGAAATATAATGTAGACGACTCTTAAAGTTAACAAATTAATCTTCTTAAATAATTAAAAATGCGAAATAAATAGTCCTAGCCCCTCAAGGTAAACATATGTTGGATATGAGTCAGAAAAATAAAGCAAAAAATGAAAATGAAAACCACAAAAACATTATCCTTCTAGGTTCCCCAGATCAACATCATCTTCCAGGCCAAAGGGTCTTCCTAACCAGTTTAAAGAATTCTGAGAAATAAAATAGAATTTTGCAGTGTATGCCTAATCACAAGTCAAATAATAACTCTCATCTCCAACTAAAGATGAGCTCCATAACAAGCTTGGAAGTTGCCACTAGAAGTGGAATTTCAAAAGTCAACCAGTAATTTCCTATTCAGTAGCATGTAATGCATGCTCTCGAATATAATTAAACCAGCCACCCTAAGAGAGTAAGATCAAGTAAGTATGGGATGAAAAAGACTCCATTATAATTTGAAATTCCGCACTTTAAGGCCTTATCATCATTAAGTCACCAGTATTTATAGAAGGGCACCTACATCTATAATGTCTGATTAAATCACACTGGCTATCGCTTCAATTACACAAAATTGAACCCTGCTAACGGCTAACAAATTCAACCTGCTGAGGAAGCCCCACATTGCTGTTTATCTCCAAATAGACAGACAGATAGCATCCAGCAACAAATCCCTGTACCAATGAAATTAGCAAAATGCCCAATCCAAAATTGTAAGTTTCCTTCAGAAAAAT